CCTAGCATAATTATAAAGAGAGCTGGGAAAAATAACCAAGTTTGGAAAGGTCTTACAGATCCATAAAGCAAACATAGTAAAAGCTAATAAATGTGTGCTCTCACGTGTGGGTGAGTCACATATGTTCAATATGAAATGAATATTTCGAAGTTCTCTATATTTCATAAAGTGTACCATTACCAAATCCTAGACTGTTTTCCAAAATTTTTCCAGATATTAAATTACTTTTAAATAATGACCAAAGCTTTCTTTCCATGTGTCTTACCTCAGAAAATCGTATATTGTCAGTATGTAGAGTGATACTATCCTTTGATACATTAATACTCAATCAGTGGTTCTCAACTAGGAGAGATTTTATCCTCCAGCGAACATTTGGCAATGTCTGGAAATAGCTTTTGATTGTTACAACTGAGGGTGGAGGATGTTACTGGTATATAGTATGTAGAGTCCAGGGATGTAGCTAAACAGCCTACAGTGTGCAGGACAGCCCTCCCCCTACAACAAAGAATTACCCCAAAATTTTAATAGCTTCAAGTTTGAATAACCATGCTCTAAATAATTAAAGATGATAGTGCTTTGAGTATCAAATTTTCAAAGATGAATAACTCACCTTTGGAAGGGCATTTCTCATTACTGGCTCATAAGTGAAATGAATACTGCCCTAGAATGGCCATTGAATAAATGACCACCCTAAAGTGATGTACTCTCTAACAATAAATTAGAAATCTTGTGTTGGCTTGTTGTTCCATTCCTCTATTTGGGGCCCACACCTGCTGGGTGATTCTAGGGCTAGTAGGGCAACCCAAGCAGCAGAGGGCAACAGAGAAGTGAGTTTCCATATTCCCCAGTTCACTGCTTTGTCTAAGCAGTGACGCTAATGAGTAGAATAGGCAAGACAATGTTGATGAGCAAGTAATTACATTATTTATCACACTGACTTGACCAAAATCAGTGAAAGAAAAAACCATGTCAAGAGCAACCAGAAATTCTCACAAGCATACAGGTTGAAAGTTCTCTTTTACATTTGACACCAAGTGTGCCTTTAAATGGCCTTACTTTTACCACCAGAATATGTCAAAATAATGTAACATTCAGTAGTTTTCCCCTCCTCATTTTGTCTGTTCCTCTATAACCTCCTGATGAACCAGAGCCCTACCTTTTCTAACTTCATTCTGTTTCAGTTAAGAAAGCAGCCTCCTTTCTCCCCTAGTCAATACTATCCACTCAACATTCCTACTCACCAAGTATCATTTATAAACCAGCTCTTCTTTATTTAGCTTATTCTCCTTGTCACTCCCTTCTCACTGTCTTTCCTCTCACTCTGGGTCTTGGGGAATTGGAGATGTCATGCATCAAATGCAAACTTGCAAACAGCATGGTGGTAAAGCATAGAAAATATAAAAAATAACTCCCTGCAGTGCACAAGTGCACTATCATGGGGATTGTACTCTCAGCTACATTCAGCTTCTCCACACCTTTGAATCCATTCCTGCCTCTATGTCATAAAGCCACTAAATATATTTTGGAGGTGATTCCCAAAGACAAAATCTTGATTGAATAAATGTGCCAATTCACTTTTACTTCCCACCATCATAGCTTGAACTTGGTCACTCTGCATCCATAAGCTAATATGTAAAATGACTTTCTGTTACCACCTTAGTGGTTTGCATTCAAAGTTAGTGAAATAGAAATGAAAAACAGCTAACCTCTTAATCATCTTTAGCTCTAGAGAGGCTTTTGAATTTGCTTTTTGAAATATATCCTTTCTTGTCTTTTTAAAGGGGAAAAATAAAGCCCATCACTGCATTTAGGCTAATGCTCTCACTAGACAGAGACTTACAAACCATTTGCTGAAGTGAACTGAATTTGTAAAGTTAGACAAACTAAGGAAAACCATATAAATTTTTTAGTTACTATGACTTGTTACAAATGTGCATGTCAGTGTTTTTGTTTTGTGGTTGACATTTTTAAATTACTTTTTGTAAAGTATTTAATCCCAAGGAATTATAACCATCATGAACACACAATTTAGATAGACCAAACATCCAAATATAATGTCTGATTACATCTTATAATTTATGCTCATTTTCTTAAAATGAACATTTTTTAAGTTGGCTTCTGGCAAAGAAACATCAAGAAAACCTTTGACTATAACTCTACAGTTATAATACAAACCCAACAGTTATGCTACAAGATCAAATGGAGCTTCCTCCATTAAAAGATGAATAGATCTCCCTCTTCTTGATACACCCTAATATCTATTCTCAGCCATAAAAAAGAATCTCTTAATTAGAAATCTTCAGTATGACCAGCATTTTATATCTTCCATTCAAGTAAAAGCCTGGCATATATAAATATAAAACCAAAATGAACCTCTGTATTTCAATAAAATGCTACTCTTCTATGTGCAAATTTTAACATAAATTCTAAGCATATTTGTCCCTTTTTCTGTCATTTCACTAAAAATCAGTATCAGTTGAAGATAGCAGCTTCAGAATATCATTGGTGTGGGTCATGTATTAATTTGTCTCCCAGACTTCCTGGTTGCTGACATTACTGTCACACTAGCTATCTTTAAGCAGGCATTAGGAATTTCAAGCTGAAATATCTACATCCGGTAGGCAACAGGTAGGTCTATTGCATTATGAAAAGTCAGTGTCTTACAACACAGCATCAAATCACTATTTAATATTCCTCAGTCCACACACTCCCCAAGTCACTCAGAATCTCAGAGAGAAAAAATCTAAAATATCTCTGCAGAGCAGGCAGAATCACATTGCTGTTTAGACAGTTTTTTTTTTTTTTTTTGCCATAGAAAATTAGATTAATTGTTCACTTAGAACTGCAAAGTATGAAATACTGAAAAAAGACCAAGTTAGATGTGGCATTCCAAAGAGAAAAGTGGTGGTCTCATTCATCAGAGCATATACAGGGGAGAAATGCCAGAATATCAGGGGGCTGGTGGTTGCCAGGTTTTATGATCTGTTTAGAAAAGCTCCTTCTTTTGAATGCATAATCTGCCTAATTTATTGCACTTAATATTTTTAAATTATTGTACAAGTGACAGTGATATTGCTTAAGTAACGGCATCTTTACTCTGTGTACTGCTTCAATTAGTAGGTTCATTAATATTGGTATTCAGTTCTTCAGCTCAGCAAACTACTATGGTTATAAAAGAGTATAAATTCAAAACTTAATTATATTGTTGAAACAGTAATTAAAATGTATTGGCATGGCATTGTCAATTAAAGCTATATTCATAAGCTTCACAGGAACCTGCACTGTGTGCCCTGCAGCTGTGGAGAAGGTGCAGTAATGATTCAGATGCCATTACTGGGGGATAAACTATGAGGCTGTTATCCCAGTCTCCTTAAGACTTGATGAGGAGATGCTGTATACTTTTCAGAAGGTGTCTGGGGGTTTAGAGAATGATTTTTCATTAAGAGGAACTGTCTGCCCGGTTCATTGTGCATGATTCACAGTGTGCCCTGCTTTTCGTTTTAGATAATGTATTCACTTTAATACCAACTCTCCCCAAGTGTCAGCAACCTGCTATTGTTTACTGCTGAAACCTTATGGCTGGAGAGCATTCCATATGTTCTCATTGGCTTTATGGTGTTTTAACATTACTCCTGCTTGCATTAAAAGACCCAATGGCAAACGGCAAAGCTTCCAGTGCTAAGGACTACTGCATTTAATCATTTCTAGATCACTTTACAGAGCACTTGCTAATGTCTTTTTGGAAAAATAAGTGCCCCTTGGAAAGATAGTTCTAAAAAATAACCACAGAGCAGGGAGCTCCTTGGGCTGTAGAGATCAGACAGATGTTTAGAAAACAGAGGAAGAACCAAATCTCTTCAGTTCCTCAAATTTTTATTTTAACACACCCTAGAGATATCTGGATTCCCTCTTCTTTAAAAATAAGGAAACTGAAGCCAGTGAGCTTAAGTTACTTATTCAAGATTGACTTCCTAACTAACAAGGGTTGGTGATCAGGTGACCACAATTCATAGTTCTAGAAACAATTCAAAATGAATCTAGAGGAGTGTCTGAACCTAAAACTCTCCACTGAGGCATGCTGTATCCTTAACACTAATGAACCCCTGTGCCTGGGCCAGGATACTTCTAAGTTTGAACTTTATCTCTTCATTTAAGGATTGTGATTTTTATCTCCATATACAATCACAAAAACATTAATACATCCCAATCCAGACATTCTTTTTGTTTATTAATTGTTTCAAACTTGCAGCTCCTTTGATTCATTATGAAATCACTAGACTACATAGACTCCTTTAAACTTCTATCCATAGATACCTCTTGAAGTCCAGTCACCCCTCTGTTTTTGTGCCTTTCACAGCACCTAGCAACACAGAATCTTGATACTGTAGCTGGTATGCAACAGTGTGTGTGTCACTGTCATTGCTACTTTGTGGGGTAAATACTCGGGATGAGTGAACCTCTCTTTAACAGTCCATCTAGTTGTTCAGTAAAATGGAAATGAGTGAAAACTCAGAACAATTTAGTAGACATAGATCTGAGGAGTACAGTTCCAGACAAGCAATGGGCTTTGCCTACAACTCAGAAGTCTGATAAATATAATGCCTAAAGCCTCCTTTGCACTTTGCCCATCAAAGCTGTAAGTTTATGAATATGGCCTACTGTTTGGTTTGATGTGTCCATCATTAGCTGTTGGGTGTTCTGCATTGTTCAGCGGGTTTTCACTTGTGCCACATATATTTATCTCATGTTTACAGACTGTTTCTGTTAACTACCACAGGTTTACACCCTACGAGTGGTATAACCCCCACCCATGCAATCCTGACTCAGACGTGGTGGAAAACAATTTTACTTTACTAAATAGTTTCTGGTTTGGAGTTGGAGCTCTCATGCAACAAGGTACAAGGTTGCGCATCTTTGTCACACACATCCCACAGTCTGCTGACAGGTTTTCATGCTGGTAAATTCCACCAAGAAGATAGAGGGTAGGCTAAAAAATATCTCAGGAATCAAAAAGATAGAACCCAGCTTCCTAGACAGTTCTAAAAATAAAAAAAAAAATATGACAGAAATGAAACTCCTTTGCTATATATCTAAAATAAGACTTACTATCAAGCAATGAACACAAATTTTCCTAGAGAGAAGGAAGGGATAAATTACCTTAGAAACTGTTTACAAATTGGCATAAATGGAGATATCAGTCTTTTCCTAACTTCACAAGTTAGAGGTTGAAAAGGATTAAAATTTGAATCCTTTGAAATTTAGGTTGACTTACATTCTTCCAATAGCTCACAGTACCTAAAACTGTCACCTAATTACCACTCTGACAGACCCTACAGGGATTCATCTTAGCTTCCCAGTAACCTTTCACGATCTCCTTCAGTTGGTAACCATAGCAACAGTAAACTGGAGAAGTTGGGGGAAATGAAATTCAAACCATAAGAATGTAATATATTTTATACATTTTCTATGATTTGGAAGATTTTGATTTTGGTGGGGAGGGAGGAGTGAGTTGTTTTAACCTTTGGAAGAAATCCAACTCTTTTGTGGATATTCCTCAGCTTTGATTCCAGACGTATGGTATAGAAAACTCTTCTCAAGATAAGTGCATTAATTTAAGAAAATCATAAGTCACAGATGCTGTTGTGTTTGGAATATCTGCTCATTTGACAACAAGTTTCAAAATAAATTGGCAAAGGAAATTTCAACTAGGATATATATTAAAGATGTTTGTTACTTAGGTGTGAACCCTAAGGCTTTTCATGAGGGAGTTGTTATCATCTACTTGAAATGTATATAGTCTGTCTCTAAAAATTCCAGGGAGAGAGAGCAAGTGTTTCTAGTGTGGAAATACAAAATAATTGAAGAAAGTGAGTAAAACCTCTCATCATGCAATTAAGTGTAGTTTATTCAGGCACTGCCAAATAGGTGTAGACACAGCACCTGATTTACTAGAAATCACTTGCATGAGTTTAGAGCATAGTACAGAACTATAAATCCTGCAGGAAAACTCATTAGATGACATATACTGCTTTATCATTGCATTTACTTTTTAAGGCATTTATCTTGTGAACAATTACTTTCAAAGAGTGAGAGACTCCCCTCCTTCCCTATAGCTTGCCTTCCTGTGCCATTAGAATAGAAAAATATAGACTTGGGTTTCATAGAGCACACAGCAAATCTGTGCATGTACATATGACTGTGACTGCCTTCTGTCATATGAGTGTACCCACCCCTAAAATTTCTCTTTTATATTCTACCTGTTTGGAGTTTCCCATCATCCACAGCAAACCGTGGGATGCAGTGTCTGCTAGTTACCACTACCTTGGGTACGTGACAGTCAACCCCAACCAGACTCTGCTTGTTTTTCAAGAAGTTTAAAATATTTATCAGGTGAAACATATATTGAGATGTAAAAATTTGCAGTACTGGTGACTGTTAGTGCATTTGTCCTTAGCATGTGGCATTGGACCAGGTAGCTAACTTATGTATTGACTGTTGTGCTCTTGTTAGCAGAAGCTTATCACTGTACTCACTTGGAAATCATTTTGTTTAATTTCTTTTTTAATGTGATGATCAGGCTTTCTCTTTTCTACAGAGCGTGAGCAAAGTCTGGATCAGGATTGGCTGTCATGTCTGCCATAAAAGGCAGTAAAGAGACTTCAGCAAGTATTGTCTCTCATCCCAAATATTTTCTAATGATGTTTTATTCTACTTTTATTACTTTCATAACTTCATACTCTAGAGTTATGAACTTAGAAAAAATCATCTCTACTTAAGCGAAGTCATTTCTAAGTATGTAAATTAATGTTGAGAGTCATGAAAGTCACAAAATTGTGTGAAATTTCTTAAAAAGATGAAATGTTGAGAAATATAATTCATACCATCTACCAAGTGTTTGAAATGTAACCTGAGTAGATTTCTACAAATTATTTTTAAGTTCCAAGACCACTTCATCCAAAAGTATAAATATGTACTAGTTTAAAGTGTGATAGATATGAATTTATCATTACATGTCAACAGCTGGTTATTCATCTGTCCAGTTTTACTGCCATATAATACATAATTATACAAATAACAAATTAAAATCTGATCTTTTCACAAATGCAGCCAAATAAAATAAGGATAAATTTACAGCAGAAAATCTATACCTATAAGCTAAGAAAATATATCTACTAACTATATCACCTATTTCCCATGGCTATTTTATGAAATAAATGATATTTTAATGATAGCCAATGAAAAATCTAAAATAATAACACACTGCCACAAGGCTGCTAGATCAATGAAGTACAAAGATATGAAACAAACTTGGGCATTAAACACACACATACACCCACAGGCATATAAATCCCATTAAATTGAAAGATTAAAACAAGAGAACAACAAACTATTCTACTAACTTCTTAGAGGCAATTTAATGAAAACTGTTATAAATCTGAGTATTATTACACACCCAAATTCAAACAAACAAAAGAAGAAAATAAAAACCACAGCGAAGCCATTAACCTCATTAAAAGACAATAAAGCACAAAGATACCTAATAGCTTTAGAAGAATACATCTAATTCAAAGTCAAGAAACTCTGCCAACCTTTATCTGCTTACCATGAGCTGGCTTTGATTTCACGAACAATATTTGTATCTGTTTATAGATTAAACTTGAGCATAAACTCATGTATTTGTAGATTCGTAAACTCCAATTTCCCTTTCTATCTTAAGCCATTAACTACAGAACTTCAAAACACCCAATCAGAAAAGTGAAAGACTCCTTTAAACCAGGTAATTCACCTGCTG